GCAGTTATGGCTGTTGAGTTTAGCGGGGGCTTTGATAGCAGGCATCTTGGAGGCCACATGAGGTAGTTTGGGATAACCTTGTTCCTTGGAGGTTACATCCTTGTACACCTGGGTGTTCGCCTACACATCCTTGTATACCAGGTTGCTGGGCAGACCTGGTCTGAGCCCTGTATCTCCTGGGCCCTGGGTGCTTCTCTGTGAACCACCAGAGAGACCTCTCTCTGGGTAGCCACAGTGACTGCCCAGCCCTCACCTGTCAATAGAGAAGGCCACTCCCCTGTGAATGCTCAGGCTGAGATGGGACAGGCACATGTTTCACTGCAGGTGGGACCCCTGACAAGTCACTGGCAGGTGATGTGATACACACTTAGTGTCTCACAGGGAGGAAGCCTGGAGACTGCAAGCTTTTCTGATTTCCAGCTGTGCCGAGGATGGTCAGGACTTGAGTGATCTCTTCATTATGTTCTGGGGGAAGCTGACAGCTGCTTCTCCTTAGTCAGAGGGATGCAGGTGAGGACCATGGTGTGTGTGAGGCCTAGGGGTCTCAGGGTCCTCAGCTGAGTTCATGGCAGAGCAGGTTCTTTGTGTGTGTGAGTATGTGTATGTGTGTGTGAGAGAGAGAGAGAGAGAGCGAGAGAGAGAGAGAGAGAGAGAGCGAGAGAGAGAGAACTTTATGGAAGGTGATTCCAAAAGAGAGGTTTTTAATATTTTGAGCTATTGCAGCATTATTGTTAAAGCGTGCATCCTGCAGTCCCCTAACAGATGTGTTTCAAAGGTTTTTCTTGTTGATTTTCTTACAAACCCATCTCATCCCCTTACTTTCTAGCACCTCCATAGGCAGTGTCGCTCCAGATGGTAAAAAAAATAATCCTCATAACTGAGCTATATTGCACCCCACTCCATAGGGTTAACACGTTCCAGTCTGTCAGTGCAGCTGAGGGGGTGGGGGCTGATGGTACTAAACCTCCTTCAGCTATGATTGATAGGACAGAGTCCTATCTCTCAGCCTGCTCTCAAGGATTCCCACAAGTAGTGGATGAACTCTAGAAGGTCATAGTCATGAAGACTGAGAGAGGGACTGGTTCATGCCCAGTTGGTAAGAAGTCTATCCAGGGGGCCCGCATTGTGGCACAGCAGGTTAAGGTGCCATCTGTAACATGGGCATCCCACATCAATCTGACTGCTCAGCTCCCTGCTAATGCACTGGGAAAGCAACAAATGATAAACCAAGTATTTGGGTCCCTGCCATCCATGTGGGAGACCCACATGGAGTTCCATGTTCTTGGCTTTGTTTGACCCAGCCCCTGACATTTCAGCCATCTGGGAAGTAAACCAGCAGATGAGACTCCCCTTCCTCCCCTTTTCAAATTAAAAAAATAAATCTGTTAAGAAAAAGTCTATTCAGACTATAACTGTACCCCAAGATGTCTCATATATATATCTACATGAGCATGCATGTGTACTTTGATGGCTAAATTGTTCCTCCTTTAGAGTATTCAGATGTGACAAGTGCTATGTTTACATTGAAAAAATCATCTCAAATCACTTTTCCTGAATTAAATTTCAGGAAGGTTTAAACTTTGGACAATAAAATGGATCACCCATAGAATCCCATACTCTAGCCTCAAAAAGAGTTTCCTCTGTCCTTTGTCATTCTAAATGGATGAATATGGAATTTACACCCCAATTGCAAAGGTGGGGCTTGAGTTTCAGTGAGGCCTAGCCTACCTGGACCATGAACTTGGGCTGAGAACTCAGGCACTCCGATTCCAAGGTCAGGACCTGCTTCCATGACAGCTTGCTGCTCACCAGAGAGGACAGTTTGGTTAAAAGTCCCCCAGGTCCCTTTGATCTAAGCATCTGTCACTGAGGGACAGGGGGCAGCAGCGTGAAAGGCCAGAGGAGGAGGGACTTCCAAAGCTCCCCAACCTCCTGCTTTTAGTCACAATGCCTCCCGTTAAAGGTGGACAGCTGAGGCCATGAACGATGAGTGGACGGCCTGCTCTGCTGCGAGGTGGTGCAATAGCAGGAGCTGACAAGGACTTTGTCTCTCTGTCTGGATAGATTTCAGATTACAGAACCCCAATCATGGGGGAGTGGGAATCTGAAGAGGAGAAGGGCTGGGAAATCTTGAAGTTGTGAGACAAGAGATGAGGATATGGGTTTCAGGCTGTGACATGGAAGACGTGGCTATAGTCACAGTGGAAGGTCCTGGGGTTCCCTGGTGACATCTGCTCCAGCCCTTGGATCAGAGGAGATGGCAGTGGAGCCCTGAGAGGACCTGTGTTTGAAGCTTGGACTGATTTACTCATTCACTAATGCACTGTACATATATCATTCTTGGCTGTGCACTAATGGTATTATAGACATGATGACTGCCTAGGAGAAGTCCCATGACAAGCAGAGAAATTTGCATGTAAACGACTAATGACAGTGCATGACATATCCCATAACACGGGTGCATCCAAGGCCCAGGGGTCCAAGGACAGCACTGTCTACTCTGTGCCAGGGTGTGCTATGGGAAAGCAGGAAGAGGGCCAGGGGTGCCTCTGTGTTGGGAAGATGGTTCTCCACTCAGCGGGTCATTCCAGGAAAGATGAGAGCCCCAGGGAAAGGATACCAACTCAGTGTACACACAGCCCCTGCTGTTCCCAGCCTGGTCTCTCCTGCCCCACAACAGCCAGGGACAATCCAGGCCCCCAAGTTTCAGGGTATATCCTGCTCCCAGTACCAGTCCTACCAAGGGAAGAGACACTGGGAGCTGAGTGCGAAGTGTGTTGGGATGAAGACTAGGCAGATAAATCCCAAGAGAGTGAGGCCTAGGCAAGTGAATCCCAAGAGGAGAACAAATACACAGGCTGACTTCTTTCTTAGTCTCCATGTGATCCTCTGGGAGGCAGTCACAGAGCCCATCAAGGACCAAGAGCCTTGCTGGAACCCCTGGTGCTGCTGCCGCCCAGAGCCTAGAGCTTCTCACCCATCCTCCCCACCGTGTTCAGCATGGGGCCACCACTGGAGCCATAGTTCCAGAGAGCAGGGGGGCAGGAAATGGAACAGGCAGGTTCTGCTTTGCCTGGGCAGGCCAGGATCAGCAGCAAAGGCACCGGTAGAGTCTTGCAGGCATAGGCGGTCGCAGCGCGCCCTCTGGTGTAGAGTTTTGGCATTGACGGCCTGCTCTTCACCAAGGTCATTTTTCTCTAGTAGCCTCCAGTTCTTTGTGACAGTCCCTTCACTCTTGCCTCCCCCACGCCTCAGCAAACACTCAGGAGGCTGTCCTGTATCAGGCAGTGCTGAAAGCTCCTTTTCCGTGTTTATGGAGGTTACACACATACTCCTGGAGAAACCTCTCATTAAAGGGGTAAAATTATCTTCAGCATAGTCCAGACCATGATCAGTTCCCACCTTACAAATGTGAAGCAGCACAGCTTTGGGCCATGGGTACAGCCCCTGCTGGGGGGGTCCTGCACAAGCTCTCACCTGCAACAAGGACAGATCCTCCATCCTCCTTAGCATCAGTGAGATCCTGCACCTGCTTGCTGGTGGGCTTTGATATGCTCAGAGATGAGCCCTGTCTCCTTTGATTTTTGAGGAGCAAGAGTCCCAGAGTAGAGACTGAATGGCTAAGGCGTGTGATCAGCACAAAGTGTGGAAGTTGTCCCAGCCCCCACTCAGTTCTGGGCACAGGAACTCCTTGTGTGATTTCCTGTCTGTCTCAGGTGGACGGTGCTTGGGCTGAAAATGCCTGCCTGCTCCGAAGCGTGGAGATTTGTGTTTCACTTGGGAACCAAGACTTACCCTGGGGTCAACACTTCCCACCTCCAGGCAGATGCAGCAGGACAGGAAGTCACGCCCTGCCCTGGACCACTGGGGGAGGACTCTGCAGAGAAACCTGCACCCAGGAGAAGTTCTGCTCTGTCTGACCCCAGGGATCTGATTGGATTTAGATAATTCAAGCAAAACAAAGAACAGTAGTGGATTTAGAAAAGACTTGGAGAAGCCAAACTAGTTACGCCAAAAATCAAGACCGAAGCTGGAATTCCAGACAGGAACCCAGAAGTACATACCCTCAGTACCTCTAAAGGAGGGTTGACTGATTCGCAAGGAAACTGGGTTCAGGCCATGAATAGAAATGAGAGGACATGGTATCTGGTCAAGCTCTCTATTTGTCTAGAGAGCTCTCAGCTCATGCTGTCTTAAATGCCAGCATGTTTCCTTTTATTATGTTTTGGCTTCCTTCCCTGGAGTTAATACTCTCTACTCTTCGGCTGACTGGCTCAAAGATATTTTATGTGCAACAAATTTGAGCAGGAGACAGGGAAGATCAAAGAGGAAGGCCTTGTAAAGCATTGAGCACCTTCATGAGCACAGCTCCTACTTTGCTTCTTTCCCAGCAATGTTACTTAGCAGGAACGCAGAAGGAACTCCTGCTTGCTTGGGCGCACAGGAATCTCTGATGCGTTGCTAACCTGGGAGCAATTTCCTTGGCATTATGACTTTCACTCTTCTTCCACTCCTAAAACAGAACTGCTCTTACTTACTCCACACTCTGTGAGAGTGTTTATTAATCTTTTGAGATAACCTACGAGTAAATGTTTGAAAACAATCACATCCTATTAAATGTGACCTGTTACCTGAGAAGGTCATGAGAAAGATGCAAAGACTGTGGCATGTGATAGTCTGGGTAAGCAAGGAGGGTTTCTTGCTGGCTTTGATCAGAAGGATGTCTTGCATGGAAAAGTGACCAGGAGATGGACAGTGTTTCCCTCTGAAAATATATTTGGAGCTCAGGTTCTGGTCTGCACCTTTGTCTGAGTGTATGATGTGCTATCTGGAACAGAGTAAGGAGGTGGAATATTACAAAATTCTGAGACATGCATTAAAAAAAGCAAAAGAGGCAAACAGAAAATGGCAAAGAACCTTGGTGCTAGATTCATTCAACAAATATTTGTTGAGTAAACATTGTCAACCACACATCCTTTTAAGCCTTGGAGGATCTCAATATCTCTGCCTTCAGGGGATTACACTTTCCGTCCCAAATCTGCCATCCTTGTCTTTGCCTTCTTCCACTCTGTTCGATGTACAGCATCTATTCCAAGGGTCTGAGCAAATGTCACCCTTTTTCTCACCAGAATGGCAGAAAAAAAGTCTGCAGGTTCCATGTTGCATACGGCAGATGGTATTCCTAATTCCAGGTGGAATATCTCCTACGGATGCAACAGACAGATCTGATATTTAATTCATACAGAGTGAAGAATTATGGATGACCCAGCCCATACCCCAATTCCAAATATATACTGCATTCCTAATGAAGCTAAATGTCAGTTCCAGTCTAAGTGGGATGCAGTTTCTTAGCTTTAAAATGGAAACAATTATTTACCTCTCACAATGCTACCAGGAGGCTCACTTGCCTGGGTGTATGCAAGATCACTAGGTCCTAAAAGGGGCCAACTGTTAACCTCAAGGTTCTCAGGCTCCCTGGTGATGGGTATGCATTAAGCAGAAAGCAGAGAGGGCTTTGGAAAACAGGATGAAATGATGGAGGGTGGGTTCTGATTCTCAGCATGGGACCCAAGTTTTAGTTTTATGGCCTACAATGAAAGGGAGAAGATAAATCTTCCCACCATAACTTGTGGGCTTGTCAAACAAGTGCAAACACCTGATGTTCTCATAAGGATGGCACTTTGAGAAAGAGGGGATGGCAAGAGGGGTCTTACTTATGTCAGGCCTGCAAATGTTACACATTGTGACTGTGAAAACCAACCACCGCACAGCAGGCTCACATGGTTATGAGGGCCTTGCACAATATCTGGATGCTTTTGGGCCAGCATCATCCCAGCCCAGCCATGAACCAGAGGGGATGTAGCATGAAGAGGCAGATTCCACCCCCATTGCAGAGAGAAGAGCCACCAGACCAGCAGTCTGAGAGCCTACATGTTTCTCATCTCACTTCTTAATAATCCACCATATTTCCTTGATAATCTCTCCAATTCATTTAAGCAGTTATATCTCAATATTCTCATCTGTAAAACAGATAATCTGTGGGAGCTGGAGGAATATTACTGTTAGTGTGAAGACCTATTGTGACCACAGTTATTCATTGTGCTGAAGTAAACAACTTTTCTCTAGAGCTTGGTTTCCTGGGAGTGTAGGGCTGCCATAGAAGAGCTGATTCCCGCTCCAGGGCTGACATTAATATGTCTATAATTTCCTTCTGAGAATCTGTCTCAGCCTGCAGTGAATTCTTCCCCTTTTTATCAGAGCCTAGATACCATTTATCCTGTATTGACCCTTACAACACACAATTTAGCTTCTAGAAAGCTCCTCTAGGGGATACCGTATGGCCCAGGATTGAGCCTCAGAGTAGCCCACCTGTGCTCAATGCCAGCACTTGGGCACAGCTCCTCACTGTCCACACACGGACCCCACACATGGATCACACATAAATAGGAGACATTTACCTGAGCTTGTTTGAGTCAAACAGAAGAAAACAGCAAAAACAAAGAGGACCTTCATGTTTTAAGGTTCCCTCGGCACTCCCTGCCCCTCTGTGCAGAGGAATAAATCTGGGAGAGGGAGTGTCAGGCGTAGCCTGGGGGAGGCACACGATATGGCCTTTATAGGCGTTGGAGAACACAAATCAGGAATGGACAATTTTATCTGCTCTGCTGAGTAAGGCTGTGGGCAGAAGGAGCTGGGAACTCTTCACTTTCTATCTAAAAATAGGATTCTTGGCATTCAAAGAGGCAGTGATTGGCCAGAAACATGGAATATGGAGATTGAAAATGAGAGGGAATCAACTCTGAGGAGTGGCAACTTAGCACCAAGTACTGTGCCAGGTAATACTTCCGTGAAGCCATGCTCCCTGCTTGCAAAATTTGTTTAGCTGGGCAATGTCCACCAACACTGAACACATGGAGAGTCTCTGACCCAGAAACATCACCCCGGGTGTATCCCCAACCAACACCCAGGCCCAGGTGCACCAAGAGACATACAAGAGAATGTGCAATGTCTGCATCATTTATTAGAGTCAATTGAATACAGTCCTAGTACTGTGTTGTGATGGTGAATAAACAAATAATGTATTGCTGTATAGCAATGATTATTCAAACTGTCATCAGTACCAAGACCTACAGATGAAAATGAGAAGAGCGATGGATCTTACAAATATTATCCTAGTGGGAGAAAAGGGCCAAATACAACCCACTACATTATTCCAAAAATCTGGCAAAGCTAATTGCCAAAAGTCAAGACATTGTCTACTTTAGGGGAAGAGGACAGACTCCTCTATCATTTGACAATCTTCTCCATTTGAGGAAGTGGCAGTCTACTGGGGTCAGGGAGGCCCCAGAATTACAGATATGGGTGGATTTGAGTTAGGATAGAGCTTTGCAGGGCTCTGGGATGCAGAATAGAGATCACTGAAAATGGGTGATGTAGGGCAAATCTCCTAATGAGTGCTGCTCAGACCCCAGCTGATGCAACCCCTACTAGATTTTAGTCTCAGGATCCCTCGGATTCACTTGCTGAAAATTCTCTTAGTTGAAAGTGGAAAGTGAAACCACAGGCTTCTTCCTGTCTCCATCCCTCAGGCCTTCAGGACAACTGCTCCTAGCTTCCTATTCCCTCTTCCAGAGGCTCCCTAGAGGCACAAAAACATCTGTGAGTCTACACCCCAGTTTTTTTCTGTAAATGAAAATAGACTATCCATATTACTCCAGACTTGCCTTTCTTATTGTGGGCTTTCAGAGGTTACACATTCATAACATGCCCCATAGCCTGCTGTCCACCTTATTTATCCAGTCTACAGCAAACATGGTCAACTGTGAGTATTACTCAGGAAACTTATTTTTGGAAAGGGAGACATCAAACGTGGCCAAGAACTTCTGCATGAGTAAACAATGTTGGCAACTGAGGAAGCTGGGAATCAGGTGTTTGTATAGATATTCCCAGATCTGGTAAGATTTACAGAGGCAGAGAACCTGATCAAAGGATACTCTGATTCACAGGCCTTACTGTACCTCATAAAAGTACCTATGATCAGTGAAATGAAGACCTGGTTTTTGAAAAAATAAGAAAAATTGACACATCATTGGATCAACTAACAAAAAAAGGGAGAGGATCTAAATCCATAAAATCAGAGATAGAAAAGGAAAGATAGCAACAGATACCACAGAAATAAAAAGAATCATTGGGAATTACTACAAAGAGCTGTATGCCAATGAGCTGGAAAACCCAGAAGAAATGGATAGATTCCTGAACACATACAATCTACCAAAACTGAGTCATGAAGACATAGAAAATCTAAACAGACTCATAAACAAGACAGAGATTGAATAAGTAATGAAGATCCTACCAACAAAGAAAAGCCCAGGACCATTCAGCTTCACTGCTGAATTCTACCAGAAAATTAAAGAAGAATTAATTCCAATTCTTCTCAAGGTATTAAAAACAATTGAAAGGGAGTGAATCCTACTAAACTCCTATGAGGCCAGCATCAGCTCAATTCCTAAACCAATAAAAGAAACAACAAAGAACTAGAACTGTAGACCAATATCTCGGAGGAACATAGATGCAAAATCCTCAACAAAATACTAGCCAATTGAATTCAAAAACACATCAGAAAGATAATTCATCCAGATCAATTGGAATTCATCCCTGGTATGCAGGGATGGTTCAACAGCTTCAAATCAAACAATGTGATACACAACATTAATAAATTGAAGGACAAAACCCAAATGATTAACTTAATAGATGTAGAGAAAGCATTTGATAAAATACAACATTCTTTCATGATAAAAACCTAAAGCAAATGGGGTATAAAAGGATTTTTCCTCAATACAAATAAGGCAATTCATGACAAATCGACAGCCAGCATCTTATTGAACAGGGAAAAGTTGGAAGCTTTCTCACTAAGATCTGGAACCAAAGAAGGATATCCACTCTCACCATTGTTATTAAATATAGTCCTGGAAGTTTAAGTCAGAATCATTAGGCAACAAAAAGAAATCAAAGGATTCAAATTGGAAAGGAAGAAATCAAATTATCCCTATTTGCAGATAGCATGATCCTTTAAACAGGGGATCCAAAAGATTCCACTAAGAAACTATTGGAACTCATAAAAGAGTTTTGTAAAGTGGCAGGATATAAAATTAACACCTAAAAGTCAATAACCTTTGTATGCACAGACAATTCCATAGCTGAGAAAGAACTTTGAAGATCAATCATATTCACAATAGCCCACCTCCAATTAAATACCTTGAATAAATTTAACCAAGCAGGACAAAGATCTTCATGATAAAAATTACAAAACATTTAGGATGATTCCAGGTCTTAGGTACTGTGAATTGAACTGCAATAAACATTAAGGTGCAAACAGTTTTTGGTTTGCCAATTTAATTTCCTTTGGGTAAATTCCAAGGAGTGGGATGGCTGGGTTGTATGGTAGTATTATATACAGGTTTCTGAGGAATCTCCAAACTAACTTAAATGCCCATCAACAGCAGATTGGATAAAGAAATTATGAGACATGTACTCTACAGAATACTACACAGCAATCAAAAACAATGAAATCCTATCATTTGCAACAAAATGGAGGAATCTGGAAAACATCATGCTGAGTGAATTAAATCCCAAAGGGACAAATATAGTATGTTCTCCCTGATCAGTGACAACTAACCAAGCACCAAAAAGGAAACCTGTTGAAGTGAAAGGGACACTATGAGAAACAGTGACTTGATCAGCCCTTGCCCTGACTGTTGATGTACAATTTAATACTTTATCCCTTTTGCTATTTCTTTTGTTCTACTTAATACTATTGGTTGAACCCGTGTAATTAACACAAAATTATTCTTAGGTGTTTAAATTTAACTGAAAAGTGATCCCTGTTAAATATAAGAGTGGGAATAAGAGAGGGAGGAGATGTATAATTTGGGATATGCTCAATCGGACTTGTCCCTAATGGTGGAGTTAGAAATGTGCCAGGGGATTGCAATACAATCCCATCAAGATTGCATGTACCAATGCCATCTCACTAATCAAAGTGATCAATTTCAGTTCACAATTGATCATACTGATAGGTCTAAGAGCCAAAGGGATCACATAAACAAGACTAGTGTCTGTGAATACTAACTGATAGAATAAAAAAAAGGAGAGAACGATCCAACATGAGAAGTGGGATACACAGCAGACTCATAGAATGGCAGATGTCCTAAACAGCACTCTGGCCTCAGAATCAGCCCTTAAGGCATTAGGATCTGGCTGGAGAGCCCATGAGAGTATTTCAGGCATGGAATGCCAAGACACTCTGGCAAAAAAACAAAAACAAAAACAAACAAACAAACAAAAAAAAACCCACCACCAAAATGAAAGATCTCTGTGAGTGAGATCCCAGTAGAAAGAACGGGCCACCAAAGAAGGAGGTACCTTTCTCCAAAGGGAGGAGAGAACTTCCACTTTGACTATGACCTTGTCTAAATAAGGTGAAGTCGGTGAACTCAAAAGGCTTCCATAGCCTTGGAAACTGATGACTAGAGCCTAGGGAGATTACTGACGCCATAAACAAGAGTGTCAAATTGTTAAGTCAACAACAGGTGTCACTGTGTACTTACTCCTCATGTAGGATCTCTGTCCTTAATGTGTTGTTCAATGTGAATTAATGCTATAACTAGTCCTGAAACAGTAGTTTACACTTTTTTTTGTTTGTTTGTTTTTTGTTTTTCTTTTCTTTTCTTTTTTTTCCCATTTTTTTAAACTTTTATTTAATGAATATAAATTTCCAAAGTACGACTTATGGATTACAATGGCTTCCCCCCCATACCGTCCCTCCCACCCACAACCCTCCCCTTTCCCACTCCCTCTCCCCTTCCATTCACATCAAGATTCGTTTTCGATTATCTTAATATACAGAAGATCAGCTTAGTATACATTAAGTAAGGATTTCAACAGTTTGCTCCCACACAGAAACATAAAGTGAAAAATAATAGATGATTTTTTTAAATGATGATGAAATCAGATCAGACCTATTGTCATGTTTAATCCCAGTGAGAGTCAAGTTGGGAATTGATAATTTCTTTTTTTTTTTTTTTACAGAAGATCAGTTTAGTATGCATTAAGTAAAGATTTCAACAGTTTGCACCCCCATAGAAACACAAAGTGAAATATATTGTTTGAGTACTCGTTATAGCATTAAATCTCAATGCACAGCACATTAAGGACAGAGATCCTACATGAGGAGTAAGTGCACAGTGACTCCTGTTGTTGACTTTACCAATGTGGCTGCAAACTGATGAAATCTTTGCTTAATACATACTAAATTGATCTTCTGTATATAAAGAGAATTGAAAATGAATCTTGATGTGAATGGAATGGGAGAGGGAGCGGGAGATGGGAGGGTTGTGGGTGGGAGGGAAGTTATGGGGGGTAAAAGCCATTGTAATCCATAAAGTATACTTTGGAAATTTATATTTACTAAATAAAAGTTAAAAAAATTACAAAATGTTAAAGAAATAAATAGAAGACTCAAAAACTGGAAAAAACCTTCATGTTCATGGATTGGAAGAATCAATATCATCAAAATG